AATTTTGACATTTCGGATCAAGTTTGTTGGGTGATGTGTTGCTGCTTCGGATTGTAGTAAGGCCGAATTGTCATTAACCCTTAGGTGCCGGTAGGTCGATTTCGACCTATGCTGACAGTGCATACTAAAATCGAGCACAGAGCCAGTCTCGTACATCACAGGTGCCTGATTTTTGTACAGAGACCCTTCAGTAGCTGGCCTGTAGAAAGCAATAGAGAAAGTAGGGGGGTTGCATTTGAAAAAGTCGAGTCGTGATCAACGACGATCGCGCAGATCAGCGGAAGTCAATCGAGCATGGCAGCCTACGCACGCGTCCCGCAACATGAACAAAACGTAGCTGTTTCACTTCGTTTTCGTCTAGTACAGTTCATGGCTACTACAGCCGACCTCCGTCATGGATGCTGCAGGAGCGCTTGAGTTGTTTGAAGAGCTGGAGGCCGATGATGCCTCTGTAGAAGACGAATCAGAAGACGACGATGGTGAATAATCTGACGCTCTTTTCTCTGACGGAAACCTGCCGTCATCAAATGAGGAAGACCGACTCAACGATGATTTGGCTTTCGGTGAATTTCTTGAGAACGGCAGCTCTTCAGACGAGGACAAAATTTCCGACGATGAGCTTCAAGAAGCTGTAGTGTAGGGCGAGGGCAAGCGCAGCCAGTTCGTGGACGTGCTCCGCTTGCGCTGCGCGGAGGAATTGCTCGCGGCGCTGGTCGAGCTCAGCCAGCTGATGGAACAGCTGATCGTGGCGTGCGTGGCGCGTGTGGCGGAGGCCGTGGACGAGGTAGTGGATTCGGCGTGCTGAGTGGTGTTGGCGACCAAGATGTTCTTGGACCAGCGCAGTACCCTGACCCTATTGTAAATTTTTCTGACTTGAAAATTCAAAAATCGGATTTTGGTGTGTCTTGCCATTCAGAATACATACTTTTGTCGCTACATCATCTAAACGGTTGCGGAGATATAGGCTTTTCAAAAAATTGAGCCAAAACTACGAAAAATCTAAAATTCAGTCAGGCACCAAAGGGTTAAAGACTCTGTATACAAACTTATCTCTTCATCACCCTCTCACAGTGGACATTTTCTGTTGCCGTGTGACTTAGATTGTTCACATTTTCATTGCGGTCCCCTTCCCCTCTTTACTTCTATATTTACCTTTAACCTTGAGCCTAGTTAGAACACTGTTAGTTTGCACACAGGAGATGTGATAGGGCTGGGTGTGAGGTCGTTGAATGCACAAGTTACCTGCCAGTTCTGTTCGCAGTTTTTTCCACTTTTCGATTCATTAGTACCTTGTGACAGTGCTGAACAGTGCTTCTTTGTTTACTAAGGCCACAGCTTCCAATCATGACATGCAAAGCAGCGGTGCAGCATCGCAGGCATGAATCGTGGACGTGGTGACGGGGTCTGATGTGCTCTACCGACCTAGGGTCTCGGCTTCACTGCACAGCAAACGCGTCGAAAGAAAACGGGGGGGGGGC